ATTTATTTATTTATGTACTTATTTATTTAGTGTGTGGCCAGCTCAGCCCACCACGGGGCAGGCGGGCCAGCATGTGGTGCTGGGGGATTGAACCGAGGTCTCTGTGCTTTGCTTGAGCTTAGCTTGTTCTAAGTAGGTGCTTTAGACCACTGAGCCATCTCACCAGCCCTATTGTTTTATTTTGAGTTAGGGTCTTCCTGAGTTGCCCAAGTAGAACTCAAACTTGCAATCCTTTCCAGTTTGGATTATTTTATCCAGTGTTCTCAAAGCAGGTTCTACTGTATTCCCAATATAAAAAAAAAAAAAAAAGCAGGGGGGCTGGGGTGTAGTGTGTAGTGGTAGAGCCCTTAACTAGCTTATAAAAGCCCTGTGTTCTGTCCCTGATACCACCAAAAAAAATTATCTTGTAATGCTGAGGTTACCTTTTTTTTTTTTTTTTTTGTGGAACTGGGAATTGAACTCAGGCCCTTGTGCTTGCCAGGGAAGCGCTTATCCTACTGAGCCATCTCCCTGGCCCTGCTGAGGTTACCTATGCGACAGGTTGGGGCGATACATATGGCTTCACATTAGGTTCCTGACAGTCTCTGGCTAAGTCTTTGCTTTTTCTCCTGCTCAGCGATGTCACTGGAGCGACATGTTCACGGGGCGCCTACGGTCTGAGATCCCACCAGCGCTGGTAAGGATGAGCGTGCTTCCCCTGGCGCGGGTCCCCTGTGGCAGTTCCCTGACTTTCTCATATTCCTTGTGGAGCCTGGGTTTTTTCAGAAGAGGACACAGCAGAACCAGGCCCACCTGGCCTTGGGGAGGGGCAGGTGTGTCTTCCTAGTAGGGCCAGGCCCCAGCAGTGGTCACCTGTCCATGTGGACCAGCTGTGTGGCCTCCTCCTCGGGCCTCCATTTCTGTAGCCAATGCTGAGATTTCAAAGATGCTCTGCATCCCTGGCCCTTCTAAGGAGCTTTCTTCCAGAGCCCCATGGGGTCCTGCAGGTGCTTTCGTGGCATTCAGGTGGCCTCTATGTAGCCTTTGAGGAGGCTCCTGGAGTTGACAGGGCTGGGATTCAGAACTCTTGTCAGCTGAATTCATGCTGGTGCTTTAGAGCAGGATAGAAAGTGTGGCAGGGGAAACTTGCGTTGGGCACATATGCTGGGGCTATCACCCTACCTGTTGTTTTATGAGTTTTCGCTTGATTTGCTCCAGCCTGGTGGAGCTGTTCTTACCTCCACATTCTATGAGGAGGAGTTGCAGGGAGGGGATAAAGGGCTTGTGGCAGGGAGTGGCACAGATGCAGACAGAACCACAGAGAGAGATCCACTGGGGCCAGCTGCCTGGGCTGGGCCTTCTGGGGCCACAGAGGATCTCATCTTGGTTTTTTTTTTTTTTTTTTTTTTAACTTGAGAAGGGTAGGGCTGGGGAGATGGCTCAGTAGAATAAGCACTTCCCTGGCAAACTCAACGGCCTGAGTTCAATCCCTGGTTC